GAGAGAGAGAGAGAGAGAGAGAGAGAGAGAGAGAGAGAGAGAGAGAGAGACGGCGAGTGTATAACCCGTCCTTGTTGCTCGGCGCTGGCGCGGTCAAATGTGGTTGACAACGCATGTGCCGCCAAATTACTCTGAGCTAGTCCCAGCCCAGCCCAGCCGGGCCGCGAATGCAAAGGGAAGTTTAGTAAAGTATATCTCGGGTGGGCCGGCGGGGCACCCAGGGCCGGGGCGGGAGAGTGTCCCCCGGGGCGGCGCGCCACGCCCCGCCACTTCACCGCACGCCCCGCCACTTCACCCCACGCCACGCTCCAGCCCGCCCTGGCCGGCCGCGGTGGCAACCGTGGCAACTCAATGCGGCCCCACTCCGTGCCACTCCGTGCGCGCCGGGGTCCTGGTGCTGCTGCTGCTGCTGCTGTTGCTGGCGCTGCTAGTGGCTTTGCTGAATAACTACTGTGTTGCTTTTATCAAAACAAAGAGAACTTTTTAGTGCTTTCGCGGGAGGTGGTGCGCGAGACTGTCCCCCCCCCCCTCTCTCCATCCCCGCCCGCTCTCCCCCTCTCTCCCTAATTACGTTAGAACCCCTTATCCTACCTCTGCGGTGGAGCATGTCTCCGGGGAGAACCTCTCCACTGCCTCGCCACACCCCCCGGTCCCGGTACGCCCCGTGCGCCTTTGCTCTGTGGCGTGAATCCCAGACAAATTTTTATTAATTTTAATCTTGCCCCTCCCCTCCTCTTTGCTCGCTCGCGAGTGTCGCTGGCATTCCGAGCGCGGCCGAGCGGGATGCCTCCACCTCTTTCCTTTTAATCTCCCCCGCCTCCTCCTCCCTTTCCTCGGAATGCTGTTTCCAGACGCAGAACCTCTTACTTATATTTCTCTCTGCCGCCGCACCCCGCCGCTGCTGTATTGCGTTATTCAGCCGGGCGTTGGCTTCTCGCTGCCGTCTGAAAAACGCTTCCTCCCGCTTCCTCCGCTTTAGTTCAATTTGCAATCTGTAAAATAATTGTCGTGCAGTAATAATTCACTAATGCGAACGCTTTGGTCTCATTGAAATATTGCCGTAAACTTCAGCAATATAAATATTGATTCTCATTTTTTTGCACTGCTTTTTGCATAGCTTTACTGGCCATTCTTTTCATTCCATACCCTCGCACCAGCCGCAAGCACACCAGCCTCAGCACCAGCCTCAGCACCAGCCTCAGCACCAGCCGAGTGCTGCAGTCTTTCCATTCCCTGCGCCACTCTGCACACATGGTTTAATCTTGACAGCCCAAAGATTTCCTCGTCAAGCAGCCTTGGTTGGAGGCGCCGCCCGCGCGCCGGGCCCGCCGCCGCCGCCGCCGCAAGTGCTCCTCCTCACGTTCGTCATGTAGCCAGCTCGAGGGCTATATGGCTGGCTGCGGCCGACTGCTGCGGCTGCTTGGCTGCGGCTGGCTGCTGGCTGCTCGGTCCGACCCGTCCAATGATAGGACACGGAGACAGGGGAGGAAGCGGGCGGCGCGAGCGGCCCGCGAAGGAGGGAGAGATAGGGAGAGAAAGAGAGAGAGAGAGAGACCAAGAGTTTTTCTCGCTTTTAGAACCTCCTACCCTACCACCCCACCCCTACCCCCTTTCAATTTTTTTCCCCAGACGTTTAATGACAGCGTCGTCCCAGCCCATGGCTGCCTGTGGCTGCCCGTTGGCTGCCCGTTGGCTGCTCGTTGGTTGCCCGTTGGCTGCCCGTTGGCTGCTCGTTGGTTGCCCGTTGGCTGCCCGGTGGCTGCCCATTGGCTGCCCGTTGGCTGCCCGTTGGCTGCCCGTTGG